ATAATATCTGGGAATATTAGACTTTAAAGCAACAGTCCAGAGTTTGGTTTTTGGGAATTTAACTACCCTGAAGATCGTTTCCACTTCAAAATACTTAAAATTATTGAGTAAATGTATAGTTTAGAGTTTGTTTGTAGTATATAGCTGAGCAGGCAAGAAAGTAGTGGGAATTCTCAGAGACCTAATTTGGGAACACAGATCCCAAGAGATGTGTGAAAGCTACAGCTGCTTTAAGAGTATTTGCTAATCTTGCTTTGGTTCAAACAGCAAACCTTAGTCTTTGGGAAACTGGAGACCCCTGGGTGAAGCTGTAATTCAAAGGGCCACATTGTTAGTGAAAGAAGATGCAGGAAGAAAATAACGCATACCTGGAGCCTTGTCGGTCTTGGTCTTGATTCTAGTGGAGAGGAGAAAGTTTCTCTGAGAATTGCAAACTGTAAACCAGCCCTCTTAGAGTTTTGAAACCCAAATTCTTACTATCTGTGTGGTTGTAAAACCCCATGCCAAGAATTCAAATTGGTCTCTCAGCTAGTAGTGCCTCTGAATGCCTGTCAGAAGCGAAATGGATCTGATCTCCAGAATAATGTACCTTAAACCCAAGGCTCAGAGAGTTCCCGCAGCTAGAGTTCAATGAACATCTGCTCACAACCCCAAATCACAGGACACACGAGAGACAAGTTATCATGAGTGTAGTGAATGGGAAGGCAGATCTGAAGACTATTTAGCATGTAACTCAGGAGATAAGCAGATGGAAAATATGAAAAAGTAGTTAAGGTAGATGGAGGAAAGAGAGAATGCCTGACATACATCTCTCTTTAGAGCCTGGAAGATTCAGAGGGAACAGGAAAATAAGCAACTTACAAAGATACAATGGTTGGGAGTTCATGTCAGCTAAAGACGCAAATCCTTATATTCTGGAAGAACAGTGTCCCGAATCAGAGAAATAAAAAGTATCATACATCATAGGGAAACTTTAAAACACCGGGGAGCACGGGAAAAGTCTTCAAAGCAGCCCGAAGGAGAAAACACAAACTTCCTAGGGAAGGATGACAGATGGGTTGACAACATACCTCTCAGCAGTGGGTGGGACTCAGACTTGAGTGACATAATCAAAGCGCAAAGCCAGACAGACCCGGTCACCTCCCTCGGCCGCTCTCCTGCCAGGTCCTCTCTGTTGTGTCAGCACCATTTGGGCGGCACTTATACAGGAATTCTCTATATGTTGCATATTCTATTCAGAAAGGTTTTTTTTGAACACGTGTGGTTGGCAGAATAATGGCTCCCTGAGGTCTGTGTCCTGATCCCTGGGACCTGCGAGTCTGTTACCTGATGCCACAAAGAGACTTTGCCGGTGTGACTAAGATAAGGATATGAAAATGGAAAGATTACTTGGGTTGGCCAGCATGATGGAAAGGGAGAGGGTCCTAGTAGGAGAGTCGGGGGAGATGATGGCAGCGCAGCGTCGCTGTGAGGAGGTTGCTGGCTGCAAGTGAGGAGGGGACAAACCCAGGAAACGGGCGCCTCTGGAGCTAAAAAAGGCCAGTCCGCGTTAGGCCCTCCAGCCTCAGGAGGACCCACCTTGCCGACACACCTGTGGGAGTCCTGGAGCTTCCTGAGCCCTGGAGCTGTGAGATAATATGTGTGTATTGTTTAAACCCCTAAGCTTGTGGTAATTTGTTACAGAAGCAATAGTAAGCAAATACGACAGCTTTATTGAGATGCAATCGACTTGTTTAGTGTATCCAACTAAATGGTTTAAAGCAGTATATTTACAGAGTTGTGTAAATCAAAATTTTTGGAAGAGGGATCAGAAATGTGAAGTGAAAAATGATCTTTGGATCAGGTGTGCTCTCCTTGCTGAGATAATTTGAATAAAGAACAGACTGTGTTCAGAGAGGTTTGCTGGGTGTTACTGATGCAAGATCACAGGAATCTCTAGGACTAGGAAACTTGGGCTTTTCCTTTTTATCTTAGCAGGGTGGCCATTTCTTGTAACCCTTTTACTATATTTCCCTCTGTGGTATATAAAATATCTATCTGCTGGCACTTAACTGAACTCAGATCTTTCTTAATTTTAGCCATCACACTTATACATCTTAAGCTTCCAATGTGTTGCAAGATACCACACAATGCTCTTTACAACCAATACAAACTTGAGGAACTGGCTGAGAAACAGACTTTGTTCTGTATATTTTCATTAACTAACTTTATAAGCCTCTACTTCAGGAATCTGTTCTATGTAAAACTTTTTGCTACCGCCTGCTCACTGGCAAAGTAGTCAGGGCCTTCAGCTCCCAGCACTGGTTGTGTGTGTGGTCAGACCCGAGCAAGGACCTCTGCACATTCGCCCTTAACATCCTCCAAAACAAGGCAGCCATTCTCTAGCCCTGTTTGAAGCTAGATTTTTTAAGCTAATATATCCCAGATCTTCCACATTATTTATATGATGAAAATCTCATAGATTCTTCCTGCCCTTTAAAAAAGTGTAAGCCCAGATCCCTTGTGTGGTGATGACCTGCAGTGGCTTTTTATCTCTGCTGACCCTGAGGCAGGAGAGACTTTGAATATGCCTGATCATTTGTCATGAAACTTTTTATTAAAGATAATAAAGACATCTTATTTCTATTTCAGCATATCTTTTTTTTTTTGCAGTTAACAACAGCAAGAAAGTTTTTCTTCCTCAATTTATAGCTAAAATGAAATATAAAATGCATAGCTTTGAGAGAAAAAATCAAAACAACAAATGAGCAGCCTGGACATACGGAGCTGCCCCATACTCAGAGGCATATTCCTGTCTGACATAAGTGATCTCAGGAGCAGCAGTGTAGGAAAGGCCTGTCTTAGACAATGAAGCAAAATGAGACAAAGCAAGAGCATGTCATACATTTTTCTAAGCATAGACAAGGTCACTGTCGACCACAGCTACAGAACACACCTCTCTTGGCCCAAATGAATGATTCCTATTTCTTTGCCCATTGCAGTTTATATTCAGTCTAGTCCCCATCCGGTATTCATCAGAATTAAAGCAGTGACTGCAGAACATTAACTCAGCATGGAGCCCTTTTGAGTGCGGAGTCTGTGTGGCTGCACAGCACACATACCACTAAGCCAGCCGGTCCTGATTGTAAGATACCTTCTTTCAACCCTTCTCCCCAGGACTTACCAAGGATGAGGATCAAAAACTGCTTTTCAATTTTACCTCCCCCATGGGTCTTGTTTCATACTAAAATTTTTAAAAATTGTGGTAAAATACACATAACATAAAATTTACTAACTTAATTTTTAAGTGTAAAGTTCAGTGATATAAATACATTCATATTGTTGCACAACCATCCATCTCTATAACTCTTTTCATCTTGCAAACTGTAACTCTATACCCATTAAACAACAATTTCCCTCCAGCCCCTGGCAGCCACCTCTGTCTCTGTGAATCTGACTTCTCTAGGGACCTCATATCAATGGAATCATACACTGCTTGTCTTTTTGTGACTGGCTTATTTCACTTCAGCATAATGTCCTGAAGGTTTTATCCATGTTCTATCCTATGCCAGAATTTCCTTCCCTTTTAAGGCTGAATAATATTCCTTTTTATGTATAGACAATGTTTTGTTTATCCATTCAACCGTCTATGGGCATTCGGGTTGCTTCCATCTTTTGGCTTTTGTGAACAATGCTGCTGTGAACATGGCCACACAAGTATCTGTTTGACTCCCTGCTTTCAAATTTTGGGGGTATATACCCTGAGGTGGAATTGCTGGATCATATGGTACTTCTTTCTTTAACTTTTTGAGAAACCAACAAACTGTTTACCATGGTGAACATGTTTTACATTCTTGTCAACTCTGTACAAGGGTTCCAATTTCTCCACTGACACTTGGTTTATTTTCTGTTCTTGTGTTATAGTAGCCATCCTAATGGACACCTAATAGGTAAAGTGGCATGGTATTGGGTTTCGATTTGCATTTCCCTCCTGATTAAAGATGTTGACCTTTTCTTTTAAATTTGTTTTTGAATCCTCACAGTAATCACTCTCTACTTCTTTCTAGAAAAGAGATGAAATTGCTGGAGCAGTCCGGTTACCTGAAAGGCTCCTTAGGTGCTGAAGAGCAGCTGTCACTCATCAGTGCTTGTTGGAATATCCAAGAAGCAGTAGAGGGCGCTGTGCACATTCAGGTGAGCTAAGGACGCTGTACTCAAGTCTGCAAGGACTTGAAATTGTCTTCCAACCCCCTTGTTAAGATCGGGGAAGATAAGAAGCAGTTGGAAGGTGTGGACATTTTGTACCTTGAAAGTCAGAATTATGTTTTATGTGATAGAAAGCATCGTCCTCAAAACACATCCTCTCCTCTATGGGCACTCGACAAACTACTGTGATAATGTTGTCTTTCAGAGGTGTTAGATTTTCGAGCAAAAATAGATTTTCTGGACGGCTAGCACTATTTTGTTCTATCGTCTTATTGAATGAGGGATTATGTTCTTGGTCTCATTTATAGTTGGGTAAAAGATTAAAGACATCACCTAAAGAGATCCTTTTATTTCTTGTATCATTTACATTTAGCCTTTCCAACAATTTCACTTAAAAAAGAGCTCATCAGGGGCACTGTTTGCACAGCTGTATAAGCTCCAGGCAGAGCTGGGGCGCAGAGGGAGGGTGCTCCTCCCAGAGTCATCACTCCTGGAGCTCTTGTGTCTATGCAAAGCTCCTGCCCCTATGTAAGAACCCCAAGGTATAAATTAGTCTTTGAAATTTGTACTTACTGCCACAAAGGGTTAAGGAAATCTACCTAAAACTAGGGAGCATCTCTCCTTCTTGATATCAGTCCATGATAGTTTGTGTTCCAAGACTTGTACATTTGTTTATTCAGTGTTGCACATTTCACTTTGTTACTGTGATGATATTCTAGCCAAGGATTTGTGAGCAAACCAAAAAGACTGAGCATGTTTTATGGTCAACTGCTGCTCTGAGATTCAGGGCAAGTGTAAGAAATCTAGGTTTTCGGTCTTATCAGCTCTAAAATTTCTTTAGTTCATGTAACACATGTGTGTCAAACAGAACATAAGCAGAGCACTGTTTTGTACTTCCTTATCTCTTTCTAGTATTTTAATTCCAATCTTTATATGGTAAAGGTTGTATGAAACTGAGGAGTCTTAAAAGAGGGATCAGAGGGCTCTGGGGATGAGCTTTTGAATGTCCTGTTTCAGCCCTTGCTGAAGTGGTGGTGGGTACTGGAAGGAGGCTTGCTTCTGACTGCATGGAGGCTTCCAGCAAATTCTCAGCACAGGAGACTCTTCACACGTGTTCAGTTTTTAAGGAATTATGTGCTTCTTATGCCAATCTTGCTGGAGGAGGAAATGTAATTCAGATTTTGTTGCTCTGATACTAGGAAAGACAAGTGAGTGCCTTCTGGTGTGGGTGCGGTTATACAAGCTTTAGGTCAGGTGGACTTTGCACTGAGAAGCCCTGTGACTTTGGCAAGTTTCTTAACTTCTAAGCCCCACTTCCTCATCTGTAAAATGTGCATAATACCCAGGGCATGGGATGGTGGTGAAGAGAACATCTATGCTCACTTCTAAGGTGAGCCTAATGTAAGGAAGGCAAGGATCCATTTTTCCAACAAGAGATTAAATAAATCCTTTAGGAGTCAATTTGACATATAATATTTACATGATGGAAATGAAACTTTATAATTACATATATGACCTGATCTGAAGTATGGATATGTAATATTTTGTGCAATATTTCTACTTTCACATTCCACAAAACAATTTTGTTCAAACTGTTAACAAGTATCTCTGACTCCTGAGTGTCTTCATTAGAGTGACTTGCTGAGTCCCTCTTGTAAACAGAATTTTCCAGAGCACACCATCTTTGCTTTCCTCTAAGCTGTTTGCTGTTCATTTGTGTGTGTAATCACTACATGATGATGGCAGTAGATGTTCATCTCCAGGCTCAACCACCAATTCTCAAACCTTTGTTTTTTTTCTCTCTGCAGTGGCAATTTTGCGGTTCCACAGCACAGCAACTTGCTGTTTTAATTTTTTTAAGTGATCTTTATTGAGCTTATTTAAAAATTTTCTAGCACTAGTAAGTATAAAGACATGCCCCAGGAATAATTAATATCTCTATGTTAAATTTCTTTATCTCCTGGTCCCATTTAAAAAGATAGGTTCTATCAGATGATTTCTCTACTAGCATGTGAATTAGCTTAGGCTAATATTTCTTCCCCAAGCTATATATTATTTTCAAAAAAATAGATAGTTCTCCATAATATGAGTACTTAATAATGCCCTGAATATAAGGTGACTCCTTCTTTTATGGGATAAGTTTTGGGGGAATATTCTAACTTACAATGCATATAAAGTATTTAGCACAATACTGGCACATAGAAAATACTTAATAAATTTATTAAAAAATGTTTTTATAATGTGGCCACTTGTATATAGTTTTGGTAATAAGTGATATGGGACAATATATGCTGTTCTAAGCATAGTAGGTACTGAAAACTGCTCTTGAAGCCTATCTTATTTTGTAGATTAAATGAATGTATTTGCATGGCACTTACCTGTTGAGCAGCACTTATGATGCAGAACAACACGGAGTGAGGCCGAGCCGGGAGAGGAAAATAGCAGAGGGTGATGAGCGCTCTGCCAGGTGTAATTTCTGCAAGAGGTTATGTTCTTCAGAGGTTGTCACGTGGATGAGGTTAGTTAATACTTATGAAGTGTGTGGCACGTAGAAAGTACTGTTTAAGGGTTCTCTTAAAGAAAGAAAGAGCTTGGGTTTCACTCTATAACCTGATTAGAATCCTCCAAGAGAGATGTTTAGTGGGAGAGTGGAACTAATCAGAAGGAAATGAGTAAGAAAAAGTTGAGATTTCATTTTTGTCCATTACCTTGACTGATTTTCTTGGGCATGTGTAAGACAGTTCTCTATATGACATGGGGCAAATTTGATTTTCCATATTTTGCAACTAATGCATATTAATTTTTACCTTATGTTTACCGAGCAAGTAAATAAAACCCACAAATCAAAACCTGCCTAATGTTATAGCATGTGTTTATGAAATTATATTTGGTTTCTAACATTCCAGGAATGTTAAAAATGTATTTTAAAGAATAGAGCAAGTTTAGAAAAATCCTGCTTAGATCCATTATTCCAAAAATGTGTTGATATTTTGTTATATTTCTATTTCTTTCCATTTCTCCTATTTTCTCTCATTCTCTAACATGCTTGACATTATACCAGAAGCAGAATTTTGTATCATGGTTTTTATTTAAAACTTGGAACATTTCTTGCGTGTGATTTGCTGAGGACTCTATCAGATAAAAGTATAATTTTTGGACTTAAAAAAAAAATCATTGTGTTTATCATGTGATGCCTATCCCAAAAGAACCTTCCATCTAAGAATGACAGGGAAGCTGCAGGTCCAAAGGCCATGGTCGCTGGTGGGGCCTCTGTCATTGCCAAACCTCATCCACTCCCCTTCCGAGCGCCCACAGACTCCGTGCTAGCGGTACCCTTTTATAACTCTTATACCCCCCTTTTTTTTTAATTTATAAAAGGAATAATTCCTGTTGTAGGAAAATTAATCTAGGCTATTTGGAGACATTTTTTCTTAGAAATTGTCATTACTTTAGGGAATTGTGCAAAAGTGGGAAAAGTGGGAGGCAGAGCTTGTGAATTAACAAACAAAACCCCAAGGCTTGCCATAGTTCTTCAACTACAACAACCCGACTGTGAGATTTACTGAGTTCCTGAGGGTCAGAGCCCCAGAAATATGAGTGTTGTAATTCTCCATGGTGGATTTGCCTTCTATTTAAACCCCAGAGGGCGGGAGAATGGGTCTGAAAATTCCTTATGCTTTGCTGAAATGTGGGAGGCTGTGAAAGAATGAAACCTGAATTTCTAGAACTTAGTGCAATTTTGAAATCACATCTTGCCTGGCAAGAAAGGCTACAATGCTGGAAAAATAAGTTTATTCTGAAAAGCCTGCTTAAAGCTTTTATTCTTAAAAACATTAAGACTCATTAGCTGTGATACAGCGACTTTATCCAATCTCTGGAATTTAGGATTTGAGCTCATAGCTTGTAGGGGCCAGGAAATGATTTATAGAATTATGAAGTTAAAATGGAGTTTCCTTATACAAAATCAGGAAAATGGCTAAAATCTAGAAATAAAAATTGTATTATCCATGTAGATAATCAGGATCCATGTAGATAATCTAAATCTTACTAAAATTTAGAAAAATTCTGGTCATTTTGATAAAGACGTTTAGTCTGTCACTAATTGCAGGATGCAGTGTTCATATATACACCATTTTAAAATTTATGTTTTCTTAAAGTTGGAAACTTGATGGACTTTTGGTCTTGGTTTACTGAGGCCCAGAATAATCCTTCTCTGGTAGAGTTAGGGTCAGGGATGTGGGCAGAAATGAGGATATATTCAAGTAGCAAAGGCCATATGGGGTATACAGGAGTACACACTGAAACTTGAATTTCCTTTTTCCTGTTCCATGTGTTTTTTAATTTAATTTGTAAAATTAGGTTTAGTGAGGTATAACATATAATAAAACTAGTGTTCAGTTATCATACTGAACTCATTATAGTGTTCAATTCTGTATGTTGTGACAAATGCGTGTAACCACGTAACTGCCCTCCCCTGCCTGCTTTGGACCATGCTCCCCTCCCCCTTTGTTGTGGGTCTCCTCTGCCCCTTCCCTGGGCCCTGCCGGCCGTGGATCTTCCTCCAGTTTTGCCTTTTCCATTACGTTACATAAAATGGACTCATACAGTGTGCAGTCTTTTCGGTCTGACTCCTTTCACAGAGTAAAATGAATTTTACATTCATGTATGTTGTATCAGTAACTTATTTCTTCTTATTGATGAGTAGTATTCTGCAATTTGACTATCCATTCACCAGCTGAAGAACTAGTTTGTTTCCAGTTTTTGGCAATTACAAATAAAGCTGGTGTAAACATCTGTGTAGAGGTTTTTGTATGAACGTTTGTTTTTATTTGGGTAAATACCTAGGATTGGAATGGCTAGTCATACAATAAGTATGTGTTTATCTTTGAAGGAAACTACAAAACTGTTTTCCAAAGTGGCTCTACCATTTGGCATTCTCATGAGCAGTGTGTGAGGTGCCAGTTGCTCTGCATCCTGGTGTTACTAGG